TTTGTTTGAAATTATTTTATTGTTCATCGAAATGAGTCTTTGTAATTTGAACCACTTTTTATTGAGATGTTGTGCCTTATATGCTATTTTATGCAATTTTTTGAAACTGAATAAAGAGAAGAAATTATTTTAATTTTAACTTTTTTTGAAGTTTTTATTGGAATACTAACGATGTATCGATTTTTGAAGCTTCTTACATCGATTAATCAGGTTGAAGTATCGCGCACGTTCTCTGCAGTTTCCTGTTTCGGTGAGATTTTTCACTGACAAGTTGCAAACGGCCATCCAATAACCTTTAGACTGGTTGAGTCAAACATCTAGTGTTCAATTTAACTTGATTAATTTGAATAATTAATTGTTTTCTCTGATTTCATCGATCAGTTAAATAATTTAATCCAAAATGAGTAAGTCAATCAATTATGAAAAGTTTTTTGTAATCTTTGAAGTCGCTCTCAATTTTGTCCTTCCATTGTCCTTCCATGCTGATTATCAACTTCTCTTCTTTCCTTTTCCCTTTTTTTGCTCTTAGGTCAAGATAGCAAGACAAACTACAGTTGTGAATATGGTTCACCCAAATTTTATGCCCTTTGTGGTATTGGGGGTGTTATCAGTTGTGGTTTAACTCACACTGCGGTTGTACCTCTTGATTTGGTCAAATGTCGTATTCAAACTAACCCAGACAAATACAAGTCTATTGTAAATGGGTTTAAAATTTCGGTTCGCGAAGAAGGACTCAAAGGTTTATCCAGGGGCTGGGCTCCAACAGCTATTGGTTATTCGATGCAAGGTCTTGGTAAATTTGGTTTCTATGAACTTTTTAAAAATGTTTATAGCAATATGTTAGGAGAAGAGCTATCATACACATGGAGAACGTCTCTTTATTTAGCTGCTAGTGCTTCAGCTGAGTTTTTTGCTGATATTGCTCTTTGTCCTATGGAAGCATGTAAAGTTCGAATCCAAACCTTACCCGGTTGTCCGGCACAACTCAGAGTTGTTGCTCCAATGATCCTTAAGCAAGAAGGTCTTGGTGGTTTTTACAAGGGACTTTCACCACTCTGGATGAGACAAATCCCTTACACCATGATGAAATTCGCATGTTTCGAACGAACTGTGGAAGCTATTTATCAACATGTTGTACCTAAACCTCGAGACCAATGTACCAAGGGAGAACAATTGATTGTTACATTTGCTGCTGGTTATATTGGTAAGTTACAAAACGAGATTTGAGTTTCATTGAAATTGACCTTGAAATGTTTCTCTTTTTTTCAGCCGGTGTCTTCTGTGCTATCGTCTCTCATCCTGCTGATACTGTTGTATCCAAACTCAACCAAGAAAAAGGTAGCACTGCCATCGAAGCAGCTAAAAAATTAGGAATGGCTGGTATGTTTATTTTTTTCAATTTACATTATACTTATTTACTGGCCTTTAACCTTTACTTTATAATTTTCGTATTCAATTCTCATTCATTATCATTTTATCATTGATAGGTTTATTATATCATAATTTTATCTTTTGAAAATTAGAGTAGAGTAGATAGAATTGAATCCATACAATATTTGCATTAATATTTTCATTTTTGAATGGCCAGTAAAAGTCCTCATTTTTAAATGTATTTACTCACGCAGTTAAGCCTTTTACCTTTTCTCCTGAGGTATTTGGTGAGTCAGTCGTGAAAGATCAAAATCAGTGTTCAAGTTAACCCTGAGATGTGTTTTTCTTGCTATATTCTCATCTCTTCCTATATTGATCCACATGACTAATCTATGATTTCTTGTTATTTCACAGGACTTTGGAAAGGACTGACCCCTAGGATTATCATGATTGGTACTCTGACCGCACTTCAATGGTTTATTTATGACGCTGTTAAAGTTGTTTTAGCTATCCCCCGACCACCACCTCCACAGATGCCTGAAAGTTTAAAACGAAAACTTGCAGAAAAGCAGCAGTAATGATTAAAGGCTATCTACATAAATCTACCCTAAATTATACCTATCCTTAGTATCTGTTTCAACCTCTAGTTGAAATTTTATCATCTAATTAGATTTTACCTTAATTGCGATCTGTAATATGGTACATCATGTTGATCATATAGGAGAAAACTTTAAATGATTGTTATGATAATTAAAGGAAGAGAAAATCCATCTTTAAGATTTAACTTTAAAATATGAACTTTGATATTGAATTAAGCATGACGTTACGGTTGTTTTTAGTCTTCGATAAGTCTATGAAATTGCTCATTTGTAGCAGCAAATTCGAATCAAATGATTCCAACATTTAAGTTGGTCACTGAACAACTCGACAATGAAATTCTACTATCGGAAAATATCTTATAATTGTTAATCAAAGGTGGCTTCCAACAAATCTCAATTCATCGAATCGAGATTAATTTTTTAAATTGATAGAATGATGGAAAGAAGATAAGGTGTGATGTCACACCACGTCATTGATAACGACATTAAGATTTTTAATTTCAATAAATGGTTGATGTCACCTCAAGTCAGATTTTTTTGTGGAAGTAAAAAAATTGAATATCTGTAGATATTGGCCTGATTCGAAGCAAAAGTTAAAAAAAGATTTTTACTTGAATAATGGCAACATTCAGATTCAGCCAACTTCCAGTTACATTTATTTGACGAACTTAATCTATCTCAATGTCGATAATATTATTCATTTCTGGAAGGAATTGGGATAAAATAGATATAAAGAATTTATTGTGTATATTTGAACAATTGTTCAGATAAAAAACACTACAGATGCAATAGATTTTCTTAAACCTGATGACAAATTATTGCAATATTCAGTTAAACTTTGTAACACAGAATGTTTATGATCTCTTTGATTTGTTTCACTTGATCAAATGATCGTTACATCCCTTTCAGCTACCTCAATGTGATTAATATGAAATTCATTTTGTTCTGATTAAATTGTTGAATATCTTATTTAACTACATTGAGATTAGAAAGCAGGCAAGCCTTAATTGTTTTTCATTGCAGTTTTCAATTTGAAAAGGCAGCAAGCAACAAAAGTAAAATTCTCAAGTGTGAATGGCAAATAACATTTAATTTTCTCTTCTTCAGCAATATCATACATATTTTAACTTTATATTGTGATGGTAGTTTTGTATAATAGACGACAATCCTAGGAATAATGAAATCTAAGCAAATTTAAAATTTTATTTACTACCAACTCGGGTTCTTTTATTCCATGAAAAGTTGTCGGCGTAGCTCTTTTTCTTTGGTTTTCTAGCCTCTGGAGGTTCCTCAACAGTGTAAAACCAGGTATTTTTTTCGCAGAAAGCTATCGCCTCCTCACGCGAGTTGAATTTCAGACTTAAATTAGAGATAGGGTCACCAGTTGAAGCCCAACCCATTAAAGGATTTTCCCATCTTTCACGATTTTCAAAATCTAGATACAAAAAAAAAACAGTGAATGAAATGTGCGAAATAAATGAGAACATGGATAATATCAAAAATGAAATCGTACCTAATTTCCAAGTATGCATATTCTTAGTTCCTGATTGCATAGCATTTTTCGCTTCTTTGTAAATCCGAGCTCTTCTCGAAGTACTATGCTCTTCAGGCATCCCAGTCACCTTAGAAATATCAACAGGCGAAATGTCGGAGGTTATACTCGAGCCACGAACCAGATGTTTTCGTCGTTCATCCTCATGTAACACAATGTTAGTATCAATAGCGATAACATCATCGACAGGTTTTAGTTCTTTTCCAGCAACTTTAATAGGTTTGTTGGTGGACATCAATCGTCTTTAAAATTAAATCAGATGAGATATTAGCTAAATGATGTCGATATGAATAACAAATACACTTATTACCTGAGTGTAGGTAGTGAAGACACTCTAAAAAGAGTGGTAGCCATCGTAAATTGGATGAATCTCAACAAAACAGATGAACCTAAAAGCATAAAATAAAAACATGAGAAGTAAATAAGAT